ATATTTAAATATAATTTTATTGTAAAATCGTTAAATGCGTCAGTGGTATTATTTACACTATACAGAGTGATTCTTTTAACAGTAAACAGTGATTTGTTCAAAAATTATAAACGCTAATTAATAATTATTCAACTATAAAACGACATTTTTGGAAAACAATTATAATTTTTGAAGATTTCATTTTTTTTTTACCTTCAATCATAATATTATTATTATATTTGTTATTTCATATTCCAAACCAAAATATATTTTTTAACATTTTGAACGAATTAGTTGTTTTAAATTTAATACATATTGAATGTTTGGATGAGTTGGTTGGCACAAGAGTATTCCACGAAATGTCGCTCATTACAAATTCATATATTTGTATAATAATTAACAAACTATATGTTTAAAATTTAATTTTTGTACATAAAAATAATCAAATATATAATATGCTATGGAATATTAAATTAAAAATAACTGTTCTCTTATAAAAATAAACATTTAGGAATTTATATCAATGGAAAATATGTTTTTTTTTTTCAAAAATGTTATTTTGTTATAATTCAAAACATTTCAAAAACATAAATACTTTTTAGTGATAACGAGTGTTCACTCAGTTTTTATGCTGAGTCAATAGCTCAGGTTGATTTTGGTTACTTACGTCGCTATATATTATTACTCTTTCCTCGATAAAATTTACTACCTAGTCAGTTTTAGTCCTACGTGAGAGTTTGTAAGGTGTATAAGAACTGACTCACTATACTACTCATTTTGGTGCAGTAGTGTAAACGTGAGTAGCAAAAGTTAAACCGTATGTGAGAAGAAGATGGATTATGGAAGATTAAATGTCAACATATATAGGTTACCTACTGCGTATTTTATATAATATTTATATAATATTATTATGATATTTTTTCTGTAGTTTTTCTTAGCCTCAAGTTTACCTTTAATATTTCTTTAAACTTTTTTTCTTCAGCAATATCGTATTTTCAAGGAATTTAATCAAAGTTGATTTAACAAATATAACCGTATAATATATTATATAACTAGTACGCCGAAATATATACAATATAATTAGACATGAATAAAAAATTGTGCACCTACGTAATATATATAATGTTAGAAAATTATAATATTTCAATGAAAATAAATTACGAATTTGATAATATACGTCTGTGAATTATTGTTTAAAAATTAAATATAATACCGTACCGTATAGTTGAATTTTGCTTTTATGCTACTTTTATCAGTGTTTTGTAAATATATATCGTAAATGTATTTGAAATACAAACAAACAAAATATTCCTACACGAAATTATTCAAACTAGTACGGACACATGTATAAGAAAAACCACCTAAGCTAAAATTCAGTATGTAAATTACACACAATACTAAATGGAGCTCGAATTATTTGAAGGAGATTTATATTAATATTCGGTTTAAATGCATTTCAATAATACACGAGGAAAACTTAAATTTACGAAAAAATGACATTACATTAAAGCGATTTAGGTTAGGTACCTATATTGAATGTTTAATATCCAATAACGTTAAACTATTTCGTTTAAAATTGTATTTCCGATTAACAACGTATACCGTAATAGATTTGTCTGATTGAGACAGATGATTGGGGAATTTCAAAGCCGTTCCATATATGAAAAAAAACTTTATCGTTCAAATTGAAATACGATATAATATTATATCTGTTTTACTGGTAAATAAAAGTTAAATTGAGCAAAGAATAATTGAAATAAGGAATAATATATTATTATTATTTATTATATTTAGCAAAAATAAAACCATAAAAATGAATTAAATGTAATCTGATTAAAAAATATATTATTATTTATAATCAATGGTTCAGCCATAAACGTATGGACCTCATCATTTTAAAATGTTTACTGTCGTTATATTATGTAATTTAACAATGATGTTGCTTTATTTATTTATATATTTTAAACAGACCAGACCCAATTACATAAATTAAATAATAGAAACATACATTGGTAGACTACTAAGTAATAATAAAATACAAATTAAAAATAAAATAACAAATACTTATAACTATGAATTATCAAGTAGGAAATTACAATATATTTTAAATGAGTCAAAGTTTGGTGAGATGAACAAAATAAATCGATTTATTATTAATTTATGATTTTCATCAATCTGTTGCAGGGGTTTTACTGGTATAAACAGTTATTTCTATACTCAGATAAAATGTATTATTATATCAAGTTTTACGAATAATAGTATGGAAGGGAAAACGATTCAAGACAACAATGTTACAGAAAGTATAAATCTAATTGCAAACGTCGTTGTTTCAGAATAGATCAAATTGGAGAGTACGAACGTTAGAGCAAGGATAAAAAAGATTCATAAATACCAATCTGTTTTAATTTCCTAAATATTATTTGATAGTTGGTTTTTTCGGAAGCCTTAGAAAAATCGGTGTATTTATATATTATCATCAAAATATTTCGATCCACCAGAAAGGTTAGGCGTTGTTGACTTAATAATAATAACTGTCAATAACTGTCTATTCAAATAGATACTATATTTCGTTTAGAAACAAAACGGGATATTTCAAAAAGAATTTTCCATCAGTATTCGATAAAATATAATAAATAAATATTATAACTAGACAATGATTTTAATGGATTTACAAGTATTTTTTTTTATTTTTTTATTCATGGTAGGTACATCATCAACTACTAGGTTATTAACTTGTAACAAAATAAATATTAGTTACATATAAATAAACACAATGGTTTCCTTAGATTAAGTTATACATATTAATATAAGTTAGAGAAATGTGTTGATTTTGATGGTGTTAACTTGGATTTAATTTTGATAATATTTTCTAAATTTTATTTATAAGTGCATATTTTGGTTTTTTTTTCTGTTTTCAAGCACATTTTTGATTGCTTACAATATAAAATATGCCACAAATAATACCAAAATTAAAAAATAAATTATACAGACTCAAATTAAACCTGAATATGGTTAGGTATACTTTGTTAGTTAATATAATAATTCATTTTTAATTCAACAGTATTTATACACTAGTTCATTATATTTTTTGAATATTAACACTAACTCTAATTTATTATGACTTCTATCCAGGACCAAATTTAGAGGAGGGTGCTGGGTACAACTGCCCCGGGCGCCAGTATTTTAGGTTAGGTTAGGTTAGGTTAGGTTTTTGTGGTCAGAAATTTGTTTACTTGTGAACTATTAAAATTTTATAATTTTAATTATTTTATTAACAGTATTATATTATAAATTATAATAGTATTATATATATAGTATTATGCTGTTTGAAATTCTTTTAATGAATATTAATTTGCAGTTTTATATAATTTTATTTTATTTATTCATGAAGTACCTACTTAAATATGTTAAAAAAAACAACTTATATGATGTATTATAAGCAAGGGTTAATTGACATAAATTCAAATGTATCTTTGCGGAGGGAGGATCAAGCAATTACTAACCAATATTTTTGAAAAGCACACATTGTAAGACAAATATTTTTTTTTGCTCAAAATCTAGAAGGTTAATGAGGATCCATATTTTCCGTTGGTGGCCCCTTAGGGGGGAGACATTTTTTTCACCGGGGTGCAAAATGTCTAAATGCGGCACTGCTTCTATCACAATAAAAGTACCTATATAAATATAAATATAAATCAAGTTTACATAATTTTAAAATATACCATGACTTATAGTATCCTGCTATTTTAATTACATAGAATTATAGAATATGAATTTGAGTGGTGGACGATAATTTAAATAGAAAATAAATGTAGATTTAATGTGTATGATAAATTCATACTTGTGACCAATCTAAGATATTATAATATACATTCAAATAGCTTACTTGTATCAATAGAAATATTATATTTGTGTTGTTTCACCCGATTATAAGATAAAATCGTTAACCATAAGATAGTCACCATTAATTCCGCTTGTGTGATGTGGTTGAATATGGCTCACCCATTACGCTTATTTTTCATTCAGTGTGCGAATTGAGGTCACAGTAAAGTTGTAAATACTATACATAGCACTAATAAATTGATCATGAGATCCATCATGTAAGTACCTACCCCAACTACTGACGTACTCAACTATTTCCCCAGAGATATAGAGTATTGCATTGGATCCATATTTGCCCTATTACCAGTTAATTAATTTTGACAATGTCATGGGGTTTGATCTCATTGTATTATAGTCTATATTAGTTTATCAAAACCATGAAAGATTCCTTGTATTATTTTTCTTTAAATTAACAACAAAATTAGAATATGATAATTAAAAGCTGCATAGTTTGGTTTTTATCAATAAATATTTATAACATTTTATTTCAACCCAGCGATAAGTCATCGTATCTGAAAAATTATTTTTAACAAAGACTCACTATTTTAAACGTCCATCCATAATCGTAACGCTAGATATTTTTAAGTTATATTAGATATTATATGCAGGTAGGTATAATATGACTATTATAATGTTAATTTATATTGAAATATCTAGCCATAAAAAAATACTATACCTACGTTTAAACCAAATAATTCCGATTTATTACATAGTAATATATTATATTTGGTAATTCTTGAACCTATGATATAAAACGAACGGTTATAATCCAAAGCATAGTATTGCCAAAATGTAAATTGTCCACAAATGAAAAAAAAACTGTTCTGAATAGTTTTTATAACATGTATCCTAGGGATTAGGTTTGCTCGTTTCATTGAAATAGAACGTTTTGATTAATGTTCACAAATAAAATATTACGTTTTAAATTATATTATAATATAAACCAATAAAATGGAACTTAGAATACATCAATAAAGTTATATTTCCTCGCCCATCAAAATATATAATTACATAGAAATCGGACATGTGCATAATACCGTTCTTTGATATAGCGATGTGTTTGCTATTTTTCTATTAAACATCGATGTTAGACAGTATTATTAAAAGGGTATTATTAAAATATTTACACTTTTTAGTTTTTAACACACGAGATGAAAACAAAAAAGTTCTACCCATCGATTATTATTAAGGAATGTGATATAATATACGATCCATACCGCGGCCGTTCCTATTCTCAAACGCCACGCCAATAGCAATGACATTCGATCATTTATGTTGTGTGTCCTGTGAAGGTACAGAGTGAAGCCTAAGACTCTGTCGTATGCGACATTTCGATAAGCACGACTCACCCCGACATCGGCCAATTTAGCTTTTTCCGATTCAATAACCAAGTCGCAAACAATACGATCGACGCATGCTATTCTGGTCCGACAATTGTTTCTCATTCTCACCAGACGGGTATTTTCTCTTCTTTTGAAATCACAGCCACCGACACCTACATCGACAACCATTACCAATGTATATAACTTCCGTTGTTCGTTGTGCAGTATTAAATGTATTCTAAAAAATATCCCACTCCTACGGTTTAAATAAATCCCGTGCCGGGCAGTGTCTTTCATTTGTTGTGGTTTTTATTTTTCTTCGACCAATCGGATGTTACCCATACAATTTAATATCATAATACGTCATAGGCCCTATGGTGCATATACCTATTAAAATGTTTCAAGCTGCAAACGATATTGTGAAAGTGTCGTAGTGCCATTTCCGGTAGTGAATGCGGTCACGGGTAATATCGAAATGTGACATATAATAATATTACGAATAGACGACAATGTTCTGCATAGATGTGAAACCCATACACTTGAAAATATAATGTGGACCTATAAGGTTTGTCCGTACAATATTCATAAAACTTTATCAATCTCACACACCGAAGCGTATTCCTGCCGGTCGAACGAATGTATTACTTATTGATGTCCGTCGAGGATTTATTATGTAAGATGTTCACTTAAATGTGTATGGAATACAATTTTTACACGAACATATTATAATGTCCGTTTGTATCGGATTCGGTGAACGATCGCCAATGCATCTTCATTTCGAGAGGTCCATCGATCGGAATTTGATAAGAGCACTGTATACCTTATATAAAAATTTAATTGCGATGTTAAAAATACGATGTGAAACACAAAAACAGAATTGAATTGGCTCAAGACGTGTAACGTGTGAGGGCAAATCATTTTGGAACGGCGATAAAATAAACTGACGTTATGTAATAATATTATTAGGTATCTTATATTATATCTATGACCATTGCCCGGATCACTTTATAAATACCGATTTAGGGTTGTCCGTTTGGCGAATCATATCGAAATATAAAATATATATTAATAATTGGAATACGACAGAAATAGAAACAATTTTTTCTTTCGTTTTCGTAACGAACGGATCACAAAAGTTATATAATAATATTTATTATAGTTGTGTTGTATGATGTACCTACGTATGCTGCACAATATGTAAAGCGGCGACATGTATAGGCAATATAGCTGCACTGGGGTCATCAAACCGAATGTTAACATTAGGAAACAAACTTGATTACTTTGATTTTCTTTTCCGTACTCTTCCTGAGTTGAAACGTTGTTTAAAAAATTATGATAATTTATAGTATTAAATTTGTGCTTAGTTTGCTTAATTTTAATCATGTTATTTACTTAAGTTGTTTAAATAGCTGTTATTAACATTCTTTTTCTAATATTACTTGTATTGTAATTGTTTATCCTTTTTATCTATAATATTGTATTGATACTATTTCTATGGGCGCTTATTGCAATACAATATGTATAATATGGTCATATGTTTTAGGCCTTCAGTTTTAATTAGCTGATATATTTATTAGTTCTAGGTATAGTCTTTAGCTGATCCTCCACGGCGTTGCCTGTGAAAAATTAAATATTGCCGGTTAATTTACACCAGTGTTTCCCAACCTTTATTATTCCACCCCACCCCACAAACATTTTTTTTTGTTTTTAATAGGTAAAAAAAAAGTTATAATAGGTACTTACCCCAAGCGAGTGTTTAGCGATACCCGGTAACTGGTTATTATTATCATTTTAGTTATTCGTTGTTATTCCCAGTTTATATTAATATCTAAAAACAATTTTTACTTCATAAGGACAACTTACGCCTTTCCAACTATGTGTTTACGCCCCCCCTTCTTCTCCGAAAAGTTGGGATTCACTGATTAACACTATATTAAACTCTGTTAAATGTAAAATACACATATTTTTTTTCCACATTGATTTAAATGGATTGGACTGAATATAATAATATAAAAATCTAAAATTATATCCAATTATAATAACAATTTTACATTCTGTGACCCTATAGGTACAAACAAAAAGATATTCGTTTTTCGTGAGCCAAAAATCCCTTTATGAGACCCTTTTTCAAATGTAAAATTAAAATAATTGGCTTCGAGGTACACATCCTTGGGTATAGGATTACCAATGAACCAAATTTCAGAACCACAAATACGATATACTTGGCTATGGATCGCATACATATACAGTACCACACATACACATACACACACACCCTTTTATTAATATAGATATTTTATAATATATTGTACCTCATAATAACGTTTTCATAGTTTATTTGTATTTAATTAAATTTAATAAGCATAGGAATCACGAAAATTACTGTTTATTGACTCTTGTCAAATTTAGATTTAGATTTCTCACTAGTCCTGACGTGCACCTTAACACGACCCCGCATAACGCCGAAGCGACTTTTTTATCATTCACTAGGAATATGGCATTGTGATTATTATTTTTGATAATAATATAAATGTAAAATGCATTGTAAGATAATTTAAAGCGTCAAACGAATATCTTTTTTTATAACTATCCCAGTGCCATTGTATCAGATTAAAATGCATGCATTAATCTGTTATCATTATTCTTTTATTGTATCGAAATACAGGAATTACGGTACCTCTGTACTAATTAAAATAATTTAATAATGCGGTACTACTAGTTGTCATACTTCGCAAATAAAGGAGAACTTTGGAGTTGGAATTTAATTCTAGAATTATTCAAAATGATCACTTAAGATATATGTTGGAAAAAGTAATGTAATTTAAAAACATTTCACGCACATTGTGACAAATTAACTACACCTACCATAATAAAATTTTAAGAGAATAATCTTTTTTGGTTTGTGTATTATAGTTGGTTCTTACTTGGTTTATTCGATATTCTAAATTTATTATATGCATTAAGTTTTTATTACTTAAATTGATAGAGTGGATGTTTGTTAAGTATCTCTTACGGCAAATTAGAGTATTTTAACGGTTTTATTATGATTAATTATCAAACTGCTATATAATATTGTAGGAGCTGCAGAAAGGAGTAAAATAAAGTAATTATAATTCTTGCAGGACAAAGAAGTTAGTATTTTAATGATTTCCTCACAATATAAACGCGTTATAGTAATATAAAAGCTTGATTTTCAACTTTTCAATTTTATTACGCCTTTAATAATATCAGTCTTACAATCGTAAAAACGATTTATTTACCAATAATATATAAAAATGCAACACAATATTTATATTACCATAATGTATACAAAACGATGTGATCAAAGAAAAGGTCCGCTGTATTACACATATAAACAAATAATCCTAACATTTTTATTAACTTTATAATAGCTTATTAGAGTACCCGAAACTTGAAAATTATCAATGTCCAATTTAAAGTATATTGAACACCTAACCCTAGCATTTACATGTGGCATATTCTTTAAAAATTGAATTGAGTTCATAAAGCATTTGAAAATGTCATCTATAAAATATAATAATATATAAGTTAAACGTTTATAGTTCCAACGAAAAATATTTTTTAGTTTTTATAAAATATCTAAAATTGTTATTAGTTGTTTAAATAACTAATTTCGTACTAATTTGTATTTCAAATGATTATAACTAAAAAATTAAGTGAATGTATCTTAAATATTTTTAAATTGCTGTAATAATTAATAACGAATTTGATGAATAGGTATATGGATATTATCCATAACATATTCTAGTATCTTATAATATTACACATACAGTGTTCCATTTAAGTATCTAAACATTTTTTTTTTATATATTCTTAAGTTTTTATGATACACAACACATTAAAAGAATATAATATACTAACCTACTTAAGTTTTATTTTGATTAAAAAAAAATATCGAATATTAACTAAATAGTTTTTTTTTTGTTTCAATAATCAATTGAATTGTAGATGACTGATGGACCGATTGATTGACACTTTTTTGGGGATTCCCTTGTCATTCTACTCAACTCGTCTAGTTCTAAACGCTTGTAAATTGATCTTCCTGTTCAAACATACATAAATATATATATGTTATATCATATAATATAAAACTGAACATTTCAGAAGATATTAGACAGGGCCCACACGGAGTAGGAAGTCTGCTAAATTGAAATTCAGTTATGTATTCGGGTTTCAATAATGTATATATAAACCGGATTTATTCAATAACTTAGTTTGATTCGATTAACTTTTTGAGATGGAGCGCGAGCGCGTTTTATTTCATTAACAATTTAAGGTGAAAGTGCTCGTTGCATTTCTGATGTGTTTCCGGAGAGATGGCATTTTTAATATTAATGTTTCCTATAAATGTTTGTGCACTCGTGTATAATATACTATAAATAATAAATACATAGATATTACATGTGTGTATGAGTGTAGGTAGTCAGTTTTGGTACTTGCATTTGACACCAGTTATTTAATGAGATTTATAAAAAAAAATATCACTTGTAATCGTACGAAGAGTGCATGATGGACACAGTGGTTATTTGCTCCGATTTTTAATTTATTCACTATGCTTAGTCCATAAATTACAAAAATCAATAATACCCGAGAACAGTTTATATCTATTTACCTATGTATTTTCAAATTAGATCATCGACCGAAATCATAAATTCTCAACAGCAACTATAATATAATATGTACTTAATTCATTAATATTATATATTTATAAAAGTGTATAAAAATGAAAGTACAATGCATTATACTATATTATTTGTAATGTGTATAATTATATATGCACACTTATATAGTTACGTACAATGTATACAATGACGTATTTTAATATTTCATTTAACACACACACACACACACACACACACACACACACACACACACACACACACACACACACACACACATACACTAACAAACACATACCACTAAATATACATCATACATAATACATTATACATAGATATAGGTAGGTATTATATATAACTAAGAGTACGCATCAATTTTGTGGAGTTACATTTCTGGGTGCAATTACAGTTTTTACATTATTATTTTAATATCGTGTCTGACTAATGGATGGGTATTTACTGTAAAAAAATATACCATACATAATCATGATATACATATAATAATATAATATACACAATACACACACACATAAATACTGTTATATGTAC